ATCAGATTAAACATGATCAAATACCAATTAAAATTATATCGACTGAGTCATTAAATTCATTGTATTTGCCAGAGGACAGGGTGTGTGGGGGAAACAGGTTTAGGGTCAAGTTAGGAGTGTGTGTACTTATTCTTTCAAAAGGAAGCTATTTGGGCCTGGGTTGAGGGAAGCCTGAAGGGAAGTCATCTGCGAATAAGGGAGACACAGCCTCCTCAGCCCATTGTAAATCTTGGTCCAATCTTTCCAACAGCCCTACGCACTTCTTGGGGAAGCAGAAACTGTCAACCATGAGCTGGAGGTGTACAATAGTGGAGTTTTTGCCTTGCACATACGAGTCCCTGGGTTAAGTCTATCACTACAAAATACAACAATAAAAAAATAAATGGTCAACCATGACACCATGATGGTCCAAATTAATTTTATAGGCAAGTTCAGACGCATAGATCTAGGGTATTTTAGGCATTTTACACCCTCCTAAATGACTGGTAGGTGATGGTACTCTTAGATGGGAGGGAGAAAAAAAACCCTATCATCCCCATAAAAGGCTCTCATTCAGTTGTCTGAAGAGGGTAAACATTTATTTTGAAGTATTAATTCAATTATAATCTGATGAGTAAAAATATGAAAGACTGATTATTAGATCTTTATTCCATGTTTTAGAGGGAGTGAGGAAAGGAGAAGGAAGGCACTTGACATCTGAGTTGTGGGGACCCTGGATGGTTAATGAAGCCCCTGATGGGGCTGAAGAGTGGTTACATGAAGGGAAGGCTGGGGATCCAGATGGTGACCAGAATGCTTTGCCATCTTGCTGACTTGACAACTTTGCTGAGGAAGGACCTCCTTAAACTTCAGTGGGGTGGGGAAGAATAGAAGGCACGCATTGAGCTATTTTAATCGTGCAGCTGCAGTTGCCAGCAGCTCTACATGGTAGGATTTGGAAAGTCCTATTTTTAAAAGCATGATTGCCCTTGCTTAAATTAAGAAGCTGGGTCCCCACGAATTGGTGCCAGTGTTAGCTGCCATGTAGACCATATGATACTATTTTATTACATTACTTTTGCTGTTGATACAAAAGAGTTTCCTTGCTCCTTCCCTATCCACACCCAATTTAAAAAAAAAAAAGGAAAAAATTTAAAAGTGGGGAGAAACCTTTGTTTAGAAGCAGAATTCACTCTCTGTGTCTCTGCCTAGAACCCTGCTACCCACCCAATATCTAGACTTCTTCTTGCTGTCTTGTTTCTGAACCTACTGCTTTCTATTGTGGTACATACTATACAATTAAAAATATAGCTGCTTCTGTAAAATCACTTAAATAAGCTATTTCCCATATTCCATTAGAAGAAGTAAATTCAGGTTGTCCAGATGATAGGAAGCAATTATAATAAAGTACTAGTGCGTCTGTTGGAGCTCCAAATTTATTCTTCGTCACCCATTGTCAGGGGTCATTTGGGTGTGTTCTGTAAGCGTGGCACTGTTCGCAGAGTTAGACATTTTTCCTAGACTTGCTCAGCATTTTGCACTTTTCTAGTGTTTTGTCATTAGAATTAAGTTAGAGCTTTGTAGATCTGGTTACTTCAATAGGGCTAAGGTTGTGTAGGATATAAAGAATACAGTTGATTTCTGCCCTTTTTGGAGGAAAATTCTTAAAACATGCTTGTTTAGAGCATTTTCAAAATAAAAAAAATAAAAACCTAACTGTAGGTACATTGTATACATATTTCTTAGATTCCCCTGATGACTCACTTGGAATCATCCAGATGTTCTTTGGGTTAATACTTTTGTTCCACTTAATTATGTTGCATTATTTTCTGAAATTAAAAGGGATTGTTTATTGAATTCTCTAGCGTTGTCTCCTTGGGTTGACTGCTGGCAATTTTAAATTAAAATCATTATTCCCATAGTTAACACAGCTTAGCATTGTCTGAGTCTTCCCCTGGGTTGAACTAAAGAGCATAACTTCTTGTACCGTAGTACATTGTACCCGAGATTACTTTTCTTAAAACAAGTCTGTTGCTTTTTATTCAGGTCATTGTTTGAAAAATGGGCTTCAATGTATTGGCCAAAACTTTGCCTGCATTTTCGACTGCCTTCTTTAAAAGTCTATCTTTGGAGCTTTGTCAGTCTTAGACTTGGTAATATCTTAATCTTGATTTGTGGTATAGATTTGATTTTCCTTAATATTTCTTCCAGAAAAAGAAAAACATCAAACAACCTTATAAAAATTCAACCTCTACCTTTGAGATCAGAAAAAGGAAATTTAATTATATTTCCACCCTTTTCAATTTCTACTTCTCATCAATACATTCCTTTTGGTATGAAGTAGAAACCCTAAGTGTCTCATTCTCTGACCTCCAGTCTCTTTCCATCTAGAGAGTTTCCATCTATCTGAGCCACTTGACCTGCCTTGCCTCTTCTATGCTAGCTTTGCTTACCAAGACAGGTTAATATTTTCTTCTATGACTTTTTAGGATTCATTTAATGTTTAGAGTCTGGCAGACAATGTCTCAGTTTTCCCCTTTACCTGGAGTGGAGGTTTCGCTGTTTCGTGTCCCTCCTAGCATTTTAGGATAACTAGGGGAAACAGCCCTGAAATTAGCCTTAGTAAGCTTTTGAAGGCTTTCAACATTTGCTCTTTTACCTTTTGCAGTTATAGTTCTGTTCAATGGTCACAAGGTAGAAGGTAATAGGGAAGAGTATCACACCACAATAAAACAGAGAATGGGGCTTAACAAAAAATGGGAATGAACCACAGTCTCAAATGCTGGAGAAAGTTTTGGCAATTTTGAATTATTAGCATGTAAAGCATTCAGTGTGGCCTAGATTATTCTTTTGAGATAATAGTGGAAGCAATAATCTGAGAGGCAAGACTGCTTTCCAGGGTGGGCAGTATCACTGAATGTGTTTGAATAGCCTCCAATTGACCGTATTTTAAAGAGATGAGAAAGAGTAGAGGGTAGAAACCAGTTGTATATAAGAAATAAGACTGAAGCAGAAAAGAGGAGGCAGGGAATTTTCAAAATCCATACATCAAAAGTTTTGTTCTCTAAGGAAAAGGAGATAGGTCAGTTTGTGATAGTGGAAATTTTGGGGTTTAAAAGGGAAAAGTAATTTATGGAAATTTCCTTCTGCTTAATAAATGGAATAGGAGATTACCTGCTGAAGGGGAATTCAGATTGGGAGGCTTGGCACAATATTTGCAAGGATCGAAGTGAAAGAAGAATGCAAAGCTGACAATGAGTGGTGCTGGCTAAACCCTTACCAAGTCACTCTGAGGCTATAAGGTGTTCTTTTTTTTTTTTTTGTACCAGGGATTGAACTCAGGTGCACCCACCACTGAGCCATATCCCCATCCCTATTTTGTATTTTATGAGAGACAGGGTCTCACTGAGTTGCTTAGTGCATCATCATTGCTGAGGCTGGCTTTGAACTCGCGGTGCTCCTGCCTCATCTTCCCCAGCCGCTGGGATTACAGGGGCTTGAAGCTTTTCATCAGAATTGTTGGACCAGCAAGCAAAGTATTTTTTTCCCCTTGGTGTGTATTACTTTTGTGATTCATCCTGGAGCACAGTAGGAAACATAGCCCAGGATAAATGAAATTCTGTTGATTGGTCTCATGTTATTTTTCTTACTTTTTTCTGAGCTTGGACTGGGGTCCTCCGTAACTGTGAGAGTCCAAGGCCTTCAGAAGTTTAGGATATTTTTAACCCAAATTGAACCTGATGTTCATTCCAAATGTAATTTTGAACTTGGTGTAAATGAGAGAGGTAATGGCCCAGTCTTGTGCAACCTGTTCCGTCAGTTCTTGCTGTTTTCTGCTCAGCACATGGGCCTTTTCTCACTGCAGTCCCTTTGGCTAAGATGACTTTCTGCTCTGACCAAGTCATCCCTCTACTGCCCAGGCATCCCCTGTGCTTAACTGGTTTATACCTTTGAAAACCTTGGCTTAAACTTGACTTCTTTCATAAAAGTGTCTAAATTGTAGCCTTTCTCTCTCTTTCTCTGAATAGTGAAATCTGCTCAATTCAAATCTACCCTTTTTTTTTTTTTTTACTAGAGCTTTCTAGTTAAACATAGTAATTGGGTTCATCCAGACAAACTTCAATCAATTCTTTATTTTCTTACTTCTCCTTTTTGTTTTTTTAGGCTTTAATTTTCTTGTAAGAAGGGCCATATCTTTTATTTATTTTTTGATCTAATCACCATAGTCTAGTACCAGATATGTACTGTTTTAATTTAAAATGTTCAATATGGAATTATTTATAATCACTTCTATATGGTTATTACAATAGTTAATATTTAAAATATTTGCATTTCTTATATTTGTTTTTTTATAATGCTTCAGATTAATAATTATTATAAGTAAGTGTTTTTGGTGTTTCAGGCATTAAGCTTTAGTAATGTGGTAATTTGAAATACTATTTATAATTTAAGTTTTATTTTCCTATCTTCATTTTCATGGCTCTGTACATGCTTGGGTGGCCCCAAGTCGTGACTCTTAAGGATGTCATGGTAACCTGGCAGAGAATCCTTGGGTTAAGTTGTTCTTTCTTCCCTTCCTGAGATGTGTTCAGCTGTTATGATATGCTCCTTCACTCTTTATTTCGTTATGGGTTATCCATGATGACAAAATTATATCTTTTTTATGCTCTGAATTTTTTTTAGACAACATGACACCATGATATTTTGAAATATACGCATGTATACACACACACAAATAGGTACATATATACACTGGCATTATATAATAACTTTTATTTTTAAACACAGTTCATTAATTATTAGTAATATCATTTATCTTATAATTGGGTTCTTATAAGGCAGTGGTAATTTACATGGCTTATTCAAGCCAAGGAGCTTTTTATTCAATAAAGAAAACACAAAAGAAAGAATTTAGGTTGAAAAATAAGTTCATTAAAAATAATCACAAAGTATATTTATTACAACATAAGTTTATTATCAAGCTCCATATGGCATAAAATACATGTTTTTGTTTATTTTAGGAATCAAACATTTTAAGTCCAGTGCAAGATGGAACCAAGAAACCCCAGATTGACAGCAATAAGAGCAATAACTACCGGATTGTAAAGGAGGTCAGCAAATTTACAGTATCTTTATATAGATTTATATTTGCATGATATTAAATAATTATCATAAATAATTGTTGCTTATATATTATATTTATTTAATATTGTCGTTTATAATGCTTTACTTCTTTTTAAAGATTTTGATTAGGTTAAGTAAACTCTGCGTACAGAATAAAAAGTGTCGGAATCAACATCAACGATTACTGAAAAACATGGGGGCTCATTCTGTGGTGTTAGATCTTCTGCAGATACCCTATGAAAAGGTTTGTCCTTAAATACCTTTTTCTTTAACTTTGTATTTTGATACAATTTTAAATGTATAATAAAGTGAAAAAGAACTTTTCTTCTCTTAACTATTTGAGATTGAGTCCCCTACCTGATCATCATCATCTTGGAGCCTGTTAGTGTGTATTTCATGCAAAGACATGGTTCTACATGACCACACTACAGCCTTCCAAATCAGGAAGGGGTATGACATTTTGCTGTCACCTAATCCCACACACCATTCAAATTTCTCTTTATCCCGGGAGTGTCCTAATTGACACAAGGATCCACTTTAGAAACACGCAGTTTGGGGTTGTTTTGTATTTAAATTTTCTGGTGCTGGAACTCTCATGTCATTGATACTTTTAAAGATAGCCACTTATCTTGAAGAATGTCCCCTAATTTGGGTCAGCTGTTATGTCCTCATGGGATTAGACTCAGTAAAGCATCTTTGGCAGGAACATGACAGAAGGATGCTCAGTTCTTCTCATTGCTTGCTAGTAGGTGGCACATGGTTTTAATTGCCCCATTATTCATGATATTCACGCTGATCACTTGATTAAGATTTATATTTGCATGATATTAAATAATTATCATAAATAATTATTTAATATCATGCAAATATAAGGTGGTGACTGCTTGGATTCTCCACTGTGAAGTACTCACTTTCTCTTCGTGATTATTAAGTATTTTGTGGAGTGATTCTGTGAAACTAAGTAAATATCCCATTCTTCATCTAACTTTGAGTACATCCTTTCATTTACTTGTATTGGTGTGGACATGCAGAAGTTCATTTTACTCAATAGGTTATAATAGGATTCTGTCATTATTTTGACTCACAGTTTTCCCCAGAACTGGCCATTGAAGCCCTTTCAAGCTAGATTCTGTGTCCTCTAACATGTCCCCATCATCATGATCTGGCACAGTAAAACATTCCAGGTTCATTCTACTTCAACTTTGAATCAGCCATTTCTTTAAGAAGCCCTGGTTCCATTTGATAGAGAGCGATATTTAGAAGCAAAGTTTTGGAAAATGAGTGTGCTCGTTGCTATTGGTATGTTGCATTTTCCATGTCCTCTGAACAGACAAAGTCCGAGATATACATATGTGTGTGTGTACATGCACATACATACATTCATGCACACATAACATATCCAAGTTACATTGACATTTGTTTTCTTATCTGTCTATACATTATTGAAAACCATGTTTTCATAACCATAACTCTAATTTCAAAACCAGAGTTCATGTGAGTTTCTCTTTTTTGGTACTGTGTATTCATTCTCTAACAGTTAGAACCCTGTCCTCTCCCATTGTCTTCTTAAGACAGTTACTTATTTATAGGTACCCAGTAAAAAACCGTCTTCCACTGCACTGCTGCCACACCTCCATATAAACACCCACCCCTTTCATCGGCCACACTGGTCTCTCATATCACCCAGTAGGGGATCTTCTTTTCATCTCCTTTGGTGCCACCGGGCCAGGCTGGACCTTTCTCTGTTGATCTTCTATTGGGTTGTCTGCCTTTCCCCATTAGTTACTTTCTAATATATAAATTTACAAGTCTACCATTCCTAAGGTGGCATGATCCAGCCTGTGGTAAAGAATGCAATTGAAGAATTCTTGGAAGCCAACAAAAGATACTAAATCCTCAGTATTTATTCTCTGGATTATTTTATCTGATATTATAACATGGACATTGGACACATGATGAGTTCCCTTCTAATAATATAACTGGAGAACTGAACACTTTTAACTCCTTTGTTTCTATGGGTTTATTAAGTTTTAGTAACTAGATTGTTTAGAAATAATAATAAAAACAGAAAAGAAGTGAGAAGAGAGTTACAGGGAGCAGGAGCTGCTGTAGCACTGGCCCCAGGGATGCCCTTCTGTCCTGCTGGCGTTTCAGTGGGAATTGGGCGTTTTTGTGACTCAAGCGTCTTCATTGTCTTCTAACTATTCCTGGGTTACACAAGTTGAAAGAAAGTGTTAGAAGATTTTGAAGTAAAATTTTCCCACTTTTATTTAGAAATGGGGTTATTTTTCGTCTTATTTGTTAGTCTAATTGATTCTTTCCTGTTTTAAATATGAGGAAATGGGCCTATTAAGGACTTTAGGCTGCTTGCTTAGTTATAGATGGCATAAACTCTAGACCCTTAGATTAGGAAAAAGGAAGACATTAAACACAATTAATATAAGCTACGACTGAAAACACAAATTCATTCTGAATCTCTAATAATGGCCACATGACAAATGGGCAATGAATTATATATGAAGTTATTAGATGATTTCAATAATGTGGAAAGACCACTTTTTAAAAATTAAATTATTTATTTATTCTAATTTGTTATACATGATGACACAATGCAATTCATTTCCTATTACACATAGAGAGCACAAGGAGGGAGGGCAGAGGAGATGTGGGCCGGGTGGGGAGAAGTGGGTGTTCAGAGATGGGGAAAGGCAGAGAATATTCAGAAAGACTGGGGCAAAACCAGAACGGGCTGGGAAACAAAGGGAGGGTCTAAGGACTGTAACCCAACAGATATGAGGACAAATAAAGAAAAGACGAGGAATATCTAGAAGTCAAGGAAGTGGCAGGGGCAACTATGGAAGGTGTAGAAACATAAAGGCACAGAGAAGAGCGACCATGAAATAGGCAGAGAAAAAAAAAATGTCCGCTGGACAAAGGAACACATTTTTCTAAAAATAACTTTTATTTTTCAAAAGTTAATATGTACTTTCCAGGAAACATAAAAACATAAGTAAAGAAGAACGTCATCCAGTCACAAGCAGTTTAGTCAGGACTGTCCTGGGTCCTGCGTGTACGTACACAGCATCCTGTTTTGTGTGGTTGAGATCATAGACCTCAACTGTGGTTTTCCACATCATGAATATTCACCAATTCAAAAATCCCAAGGCTATAGGAGTATTTTTTAAACCAAGCATATACTACACCAACTCAATCTGTTAGGAAAAAATTATAATCCTGCCTTTCTTGGGAACAAAATTTCACCAAAGACAAAAATGGCATCAGGATTCTAGATAGATGTATTGGCAGAGTTACAACTAAAAATTTATATGCAAATTTAAAATACTTAATACTCAATTTAAAATGAGACATAAAGCAGCAGGGTACACTGCAATAATGTTTCTAGGAGATTCATTATCAGATTTTTACAACTAAAATATTAGCAAGAAAGCATGTTCCCTGTGAATTAAAATATTCCAGCAGTACAGTCAGAAGATGCACACACATCAGTGGCTCACATCAGAATATAAATCCTTGAGTACTTGTTCCACTTTCCCCTGTGTTCTTCCTTCTGCCCCTCTGCTCCAGCCCAATGAACAAGTCCTGATACACACTTTGAAGAGATAAAACAATTCCATGTGCAAGATGCATCTTTTCTATCAATTATGCAATAAGATATGTATGAGTTAGTTAATTTACTAGCTCTGCTTTTTATGATACACTGCCATCTCGAGACATCTAGAAAACTTAGATGTTGTGAAATAAAATGTGAATTTTGTGTATAATAAACACAAGTACCTTACCAAAAAGGCACATGTAGATCTACAGCTGTATTCTAAAACTGTCTTCCAGATACAGAAATACTAGCAGAGAACGTTTCTCCTTCTGCTTTTCTTCTTCTTCACCATTCCAGTGACTAAGTTTTGGATGACCCCTAGTTTCAAAAGATGGATTGACAATGGTCATTTGCAGAAGACAGTTATTCCTAAAAACTAACAAAAGGATATTTGTGGTGGGATTGTTTTGCTACTTCTACCATATTTGGGCATTAGGACTTCTATTTTAATACCTAGCAATATTAACCAAAATGCACATAAAACAATAACTAGACAATCAGAACGAATCTAAGGGGCACAGAACCTTTCTCTATGCATACTTTCTCCTTCTCCCACCCACCACCCAGTGAACAGTGAGCACACTCTCCAAGATGTCAAATTTAATAATTCCATTCACCAAAATGGCAACCATTCTTATGTAGTAACAAAAAATACTTAAAGGGCATTACTTTACCCTCTAATTTTATCATATGTTGGGTATGAGTAGACATCTTGAAAGACTAGATGTTTCCAACAAGGACTTAAGTGTTTTGCTGTGTGTATGTTATATATAATGGACAAAGAAGTCCCAATTTTGCAACATCTCATTTCTACATGTTAAAGAGGTTTCTGGTGTATGACAGAGTGGTTAGTATAATTAGCACATTTTGTCTACTTTGTGTTGAAATTCATAGGAAATTCTGTCCTCCTAAATGACTTTTAGATATGAATTTGTTTGACAATCTCTAAGCATTACATATGCCTGTGCTTGTTCACTAGACTGAAAGTAGAGAGAAGGAACTGGGGAGGGAAAGGTTCAAGGACAAACGGTCATATTAGAAGATGTGTCAGATTATAACCATTGCTACATGTGCAATTTTATTTACCAGTGCTGTGTGCATAGTGAATAAGTTCTTATAGGAAATATTTAGTCCTTCTAGATATTTAAAAGTGCTTGATATATTTAGAAGTAGAAGTAGTAAAATAAAATTTTTGTAAATATCTCATAAAAAATGGTAGGAAATCTCATGTTTGGAATCGTTAAAACATCTCTGAACAGTTTACTATCGGTACTTTTTCATTGGGTTGAGAGTTGGGAGGAAAGAAGTTGCAAAAGGTGTTTTGTGAGAGTGTGCTAGAAAATTTCAACTTTCCCATTGCCTTTGATGTTATATGCATTTCATTTAAACCTTGCTGCATTTTACATTTTGTGTACATACTGGACAAAGGAATCCTAATTTTATAATATCTACTCTGTAGATATTAAAGAGGTTGCCAATGTAAGACAAATATAGAGTTAGTAAACTAACACATTTTGTGCAATTTGTGTTACAACTCATAGAAAGATAATCTTCTGAAGGAACATTTTTTTTGATAGTATTTGCACTCAGGTTTGTTTCTCTGTATCATGTGCTACTCTTTTAACTTACAGAATGATGAAAAGATGAATGAAGTAATGAATCTAGCCCATATCTTCCTGCAGAATTTCTGCAGAGGAAATCCACAGAATCAAATTCTTCTTCATAAACATCTGAATTTGTTTTTAACTCCTGGTGTAAGTATTTTAGTGATTTCTAATATTTATAGTAAAGTATGCATCAGATTAATCTTAGTAGCACTAATGAACAGGATTTTATTAATCCTTGTCATCTCATTTCTTCCTTGTAGGTATTCTCTCCTTAAAGTTGATCATCTTTTTATTTCCATTAAGGACTCTTTTAAAGTAAATTTGGAAATTGCAAAAATTTTATATGCAAATGACAATTTCATTTTTTCATATACAGTTTAATGTTAGAACAATGATAAGGTATAACAAAGAACTAACTTAATAATACCGCAAGATAAAATATGGGTAACTTGAAGATAGAGTTAACTCTTGCCTTTTAAACATGTTTAAGCAGATCTTAAGAAAGAGCTGACTTTGAATAATAGATAATTAAATTAATGTCAAGAACACTATTGCTGACATGTTGTACTTCATGATAATAAGCTTCTGTCTTCAACTGAGTTCCTTTGTGAGCTGAATTTCTTTTAATGGTTAATGATCTCATTGCATTTTGTAAAAGACTTGCACAGAAAATTCACTTGGGCTTCATATAAAATGTAAAGCTGATCACAAGCAGGAAAATTAGTCTAATTTTGTAGAATACAAAATTGATCTTATCATTATTACAAAGCATGTTCCCTGTTTAGCTCCTTGAAGCAGAAACCATGCGGCACATCTTCATGAACAATTACCATCTGTGTAATGAAATCAGCGAGAGGGTTGTGCAGCATTTTGTGCACTGCATTGAGACACATGGCCGCCACGTGGAGTACCTGAGGTTTTTGCAAACAATTGTGAAAGCAGATGGTAAATACGTGAAGAAATGTCAGGATATGGTAATGACAGAGGTGTGTTCTTTGTTTGTATTTTATCAGTTTGACCTAAACAATATGCTTGAATGTGTATTTTCTGTTAATTTAGCAAAAAAAAAAAAAAAAAAAAAAAGCCAAGCAACCATTTTGGAAAATTATTTCATCATGACTCCTTAAGCACAAATGTATTTTGCTTTAGTCCAATGAAGCAACACATTACAACTTGAGTTTATGATTTTCTAAGAGTATTTTCGTTTGATTCATAATGAATTTGGGTATGTTAAATAATGACTAAAGTCTTACCATTTCCCAAGCTTATTTGAAATTCAAGTAAAAAATTTAGTATTTTAGAGTTTTCAATAATACAACAAAGAGATAAAACTCTGTTTAGTACCTTTATTGTTCTGTTTCTGAAATGTAGAATGGGTGTTCTCTGCCATATTTTGCAAAGGCTTCAAAAGGAACCAATCAATTTAAAAGCTACTTGTTGGTGCTTTATTATAGCAGGTGGGAACTTGCTACTTAGAGTAACACAAGAACCTATGAAGAATGAATGGCTGAAGAACTTAGTTTATTTTGCCCTTTTTATCTTGATGTTTGGTACCGAGTGAGATTTACATAAAGAGTGAGTTACTCACTAGGAACCCAGGGTGAGACTTTGGGGAATTGGCAGCCCAAAGAGCCCATCTGGGTAAATCACCACTCTGTGACTAAATGGTTCTCTTGTGGCCTGTCTGGATTAAGGCAGTTTCAAGCCATGGCAACCAAACTGTTACACTGTATTATAGACTTTGTTGGTTTGGGGGCAGTTTTGCACTAATATTCTTTCAAGTTAGGGATGGGAAATATTTTTGTATTGATTCAATATGAGTCCCTCCTGCCAATTAGAAATCTTAAAATTAATTCAGCAAAACCTTAAAAATTTTAAATGTCAATTATTGTTATTAAACATTGTAAGGAATGTTTTACACTTGTAAAGTTTACCTTTTTACAAATTATGTTTTCATTCACATTAGTTCTTCTTTAATGCATAGAAATGTGTGGGAAGTAATTTGATTTGGATTCTGATCACCAGGGAAAGAATTAGAATGAGAGAGTAGCAAATATTTAAGCCATCCCTATGGCATTTATCAAATGATGTGTTCCTATGTGTGAGGAAGTATTTTTAATATTATGTTAATATTTAATATATTTGTGATATGTATACATTTTTCTTCCAACAAAACTGCTCAATTCATTGGCTTATCAATTTAAATATGATGAAAAGATTAAAAATTGCATATCTGTTGTTCCCACTAAAATACTCATATTGTATTCAGAAAATTGGTCCTTGTAAGAGATCAACAATAATATTTTATGATGTTTCAGCAGTAAAATTGTTACTTGCTGGAATTTTCCACTAAAATTATACAATAAAACCTGAAGGAAAATTCATGTCCTAAAAGCCCTTACTATTCATTTCTTTGTGTCTCATTTTTTAGTAGTCTTCTCCTCATTTCTCCCTCTTCTGCTTTTACCTCTGTTTTCTTATGATGCTTTCCCATAAACATGGAGTTTCCCAGACTTTTGTAGATTTATACTTGGCTCAATGTACTTGCTTACTTATTTAGTCACTATTGAGGTGGTTTGGGGTATACCATCCTGTTTAGTAAAAATTAGACATAAGTGACCACAAATTGCCAGTGCTTTGGCAGTAGAGTCCTCTAATATGGAGGGAAATAAATTTATTGTTTTATAGGTTTGATTTCAGTGTCTAACTCACTGATAACCCTTGCTACTGTCCATGTTGTCTAATTCTTGCCACCTCTGCCGCACCCATATCTCTCTGCCTCATTTTTGTAGCTTTTACAACTGGTCACTTGGCACATGATTATAATCTTTTCACCATTCTTCCTTGGCATAATGATTCCTTCACGGTGTTATCTATGCTTTTTATAAAGAAATACAACTGTTTTTAGATAGATAAAGCCTTTGGAAATAAAATGATAATTTGGATGGCAATGGAGATTCTCTTATTATCGTTTCAGTTGATAAATGGGGGTGAAGATGTGCTGATCTTTTACAATGATAGAGCATCATTTCCAATCCTTCTCCACATGATGTGTTCAGAGAGAGACCGAGGGGATGACAGTGGCCCCTTAGCCTACCACATCACCCTTGTGGAGTTGCTGGCAGCATGCACAGAGGGGAAGAATGTCTACACTGAAATCAAGTGTAATTCCCTTCTGCCCTTGGATGACATAGTGAGGGTGGTGACCCACGATGACTGCATCCCGGAGGTAAGCCTGGCAGAAGCTCAGTAGCTGTAGAACCATCATAAAGTTTTGAAGTACATCTAAGTGCTGGAAGTCTCCCATACTAACATTTATGAGATCACACGAATTGAGAAATTGTAGTTAGCTATATAATTTGGGAAATTTAAGAGAATGAAAAGATATATATATATACATATATATATATATATATATATATATATATATATATATTAGTTATATAAGAAATTTGGAAGCAGAGTAAAAATTTTTTAAAGTGTGGCCCCTGTTAGTTTACTGGAAGCTACTAAAAATGCCTCTTAAATTTTAAACATGGTAATCAGATCAAATGAAAACTTTACTTGTAGCCTGTAGTATATTTTTGAGCATAAACAGGCACTTCATAAATGATTTATAATCATTAATTGGAGAGGCTAGGCTAGTGCTGAAAGATCACACACTGGACTCTGTAAATTTACTTTGCTTTATGGAATAAATGTGTTCTTGAAAAATACCATACACAGTTTGCTTTGTTCTCACATCCTCCTTTACCCTCTCAATTTGATTTATTTTTTTATTTTTTATTTTTAGTTATAGGTGGACACAATATCTTTATTTTATTTGTTTTTATTTTTGTGTGGTTCTGGGGATGGAATCCAGTGCATCATGCATTGCTAGGCAAGCACTCTACCACTGAGCCACAACCCCAGCCTCTCAGTTTGGTTTTGATGATATAGGGGAAAAAATCAGCAGAAGCTGGTTGTCTGCTATCGGGTTTCTATTAACGAGGCTTCCAGGAAAGAATGTTTTAATAATTCCTTTCATTTGTAATATTATGGTATATTATTGAAAATTTTGCAAATGTGTGATATACTGAAAATTATATGAAACCAAACATTTTAAATTACAGTAACTTAAAAAGGTGTCAGGGGAGTTAACTTTCCCATTTCTAAATAGTCTTCTGTAGTGATGGACTTTAAAGAAAATTTTTGGAAGTTCTGTAGGATTGTTGACATCTCAATCCTAGGGTACTTCATGCCTTGATTTGTTTGAAACAAGATGGCAGAGAGAATATAGTATAGTGAGGAAGTCTATAGGTTCTGTCCTTATTTGTGGTCCTGGTTTGGCCATGCCTTTTCCCATATGCAGCTCCCCTGAAAACACCACCTTTACTTCTAGGTTTGTGTAAATAATTCCCCTTCACCCTTTAGAACCTGATCTGGGCCTTACATCTTCAGGAATAAGTGTCCTGGCCTCCTGTAGCAGAGAGTCTATGAGTCTACAATGTGAAATTTGTCATTTGAATTTTATTCATTAGTAAACATATTTAGCCCTCATACTCTTTTCCAAGATTATAAACTCCAGGAGAGTAACAGTTAGGGCTGTTTCTGTTCATCATTACATTGTTTGGGCTGGAACAATACTCAGTACATATGTTTTGAATGAATGAACAAATGAATTAAAGGATGAGTCAAAGCCCTGGATCAATTACTGCCTAGTGATATCACTGACTCAAACATATTACTTGACTTTTCAATTTTCAGTTTCCACAGTTTTAAGATGAAATAATTATAATACATGTCTGACAGGATTGTTGGAGAATTGAATTAAATAAGTTAGTACATACAAAATGCCTAAGGTGTTTGGCACACAGTAAATATGGCATAAATATTTACTTCTGTGGCCTGTGATGGCATGCTGACTGGCTCAAATATTTCCCTATCTGTGACCATCCTTAACACACATGCCTACTGTGGATGGCTTGTGTTAGACCCCAGTCAAGCAGAGAAAATCACCAAGGTATGCAAGCTGGCCCTATGTTCCTGTGGTTCTAACTCTAATTCCATGGATCCCCGAAATAGTTTAATTGATTTTTTGTGTATATACATTTTTCTTATAGATTTATAGAAATTCATTAGATTTTTATAATGAGAGAAACAAAGAAAATAAAATTAAAAAATGACTGCCCTGTGTGCTTTCCACATGGTATATATTGATGAGACTCATCCTAATCCTTCATGAAGAATTTTGCTGATTCTGAGGAATGTACTACATTACCAAATAATACTTCTTTTTTGTTAACTATGAGTTTGTTTTTTTCCCCAAGAACAAGAACAAAAAGTTCCTTTTTTTTTAATGTTAATGAAGTATTATTTTGTCAACATATTTAAGCATTATATTAGGACTTCTGGTTGCAAGTGACAAAGACCTAACAAAGTAGTTTAAACAAGAAAGGGAATTTAAGGAGATTTTACTGGCTCTTGTACTTGGAAATTTGAAGGACTATTGTTCAAGTGGATGCAGAGGTTCAGAATTCTCTCTGTTGTCCCTTGTTCCTTTGTGTCTTTGTCTCCTTCACTTCTTCTGGGCATAGTTTTTCTCTCCACACACCTAGCAGATAGTTTCTTGAAGTTCAGATTTATCATGTTTCACTTTAGTAGCAGGTGAGGGTGAGGGTCAGG